CAAGTAAGTAGTTAAAAACCAGCTTAGACTCTGCTTAAGTGATCATTTGTGGAGCATGTACATGAGCCCCCATCTTGTTTTACCTTGTGCTTCATAGAGGGTGTAGCCCTTGGAGAACCACCTTCCATTGCTTATAGGCCAGGACGGTGTGGATAGAGGATACCCTTAGCTGACTTACATCTGCAGAACTAGATCTTGAAGATCATTATTTTATTTTAAAAATCTCTCATGACTGCTCTGTTTCCTAAAACTGCTGAAAAGAGCAATTTCAAGACACACAACCTAGTGAAAGAAAGGTTTCAATAAATACACCAAAATAATAGAAAGTTTTAATAAGAACCTTTTTACTATAAAACTTGGAAATTAATTTTAATACTGTCCAATATCATTTAATAACATTCATATTCAAGTTTTGCTTTTTATGATGCCATCAAATTTGGAGTGGCAATTAAAATGTTTCTCAATTGAAGGAAGCCTTTAATAATTTGCTTTTTCTTTTAGGCTTCATGGTGTGTTAGATAAACTTCGCTCAGTTACTACTGGTAAGATTTATAAAGAACACCTTTTCTCCCCCCTTGTAGCATGTGCTTTTTCCTGTTTCTAAAGTCAGTATTTATATTCCTTTGTGGTAGAAAAAATTGAAAACAGTTCATCCTAACGTTTTTAGAAGGCCTGTGCTTTTATGAACTTAAGGGCACTAAACTTAAAGATAATTTAAGCTGGAATTAAGTAATTTGTGGTAAAGAAGTCATTACAGAGCTGGGCAAAGATTGTCGCAAGGAGGATGTCTCAGGATCTTATCATTGGAAATGATGTAAAAGTTAATGCTGTAAAATAATTCAGTAAGTTACTGTATTGTATACCAGGGAATATTTAGTCCTTAAACAATCATGTGGTAGAAGAATAACATGAGAATACACATGCCTAAGATAAATGTATTTTCCCCCCAAAATATGTAGGAAATTTTTTCTCAGAAACACACCTTTGGGATAATTGGTGGGCTTTAGTTCTTTGTGCCTTATTGTACTCAGATTTTGTGCAAGAAACATGTATTGCTTCTAGATTGATGTTGAGGGAAGGGAAGCCCGAAAGCAATAAAAACAAATGAGAAGGGTCCTGTGCTTTTCTTGGCAGACCCCTCTAGCCTAAAGTCATCCGATAGCAACATCTTTGATAGTAACGTGCCTCTGAACAAGGGCAGCCTCAGCCGAGGGGAGGAGCGGCGACACGAGGCCACAGTGCCACCCCTGGCCGTTTCTAGCTCCAGAGTTGAAAAGAGAGATTCCAGAGTGTCCACCAGCTCCCAGGACCCGACAATCACTAATGCCAGGTGAGAGCTCTGTGGGTTTGTGGTCTTGAAGATGAGCTTTTCCATCTTGAAACAGCTCTTTGCAGCAGTCTTTAGAAACAGTGGGGTTGGTCGTGAGTCACGTTTCCGAATAAAATAATGATTGTCTAACACCTGGGTCAATAATGACTGTCTTTCATTTTTGGTGTAGTAAATTAAAAGTTTTAAAAAATTCGATTTCAGAGTAGTTTTTAATGGAGTCCCAAAAGGGTATACCCAAACTGTATCATCCGAGTTTTTAAAGGGACTATTCTTTGAGGAGATGACAGTA